ATGTTGTACCAAGAATTTAAAAAAAAAACTTCAATGATTCACTGTAATTGGTTACTTATTATTTGTTTTACACATTCATTCAATATTTTCAAAAAGAACACAATAGACATTTTATCGACATCTTCAAAGTTACAGTGATTATTTCTTATTTGTATAGATGTTGAATGAACTTAAACTACCCATGTAACAGTCAAAATTATGTGTACTACTCGTATATGTATAAAATACATTTGTTTAAAAGTTCATTTATATGTGTCCTAATTATTCTAAAGGCCAATAAATCGCGTCGATGTGTCATTAAAATGAAGGTTAGTTACTTTTACTATCTCAATTTATCAATCCAATAATCTATGATGACCTCATTATTTTAACAATCTATGAGAAAATCAAAGCTATTAATTTGCTCTTGGCCGAGACTGCGTCCGCGTAGAATTAAAAAAAAAACAAATAAAGTAACTGTTCTTCCAAACTGTCCTCTACATCTATGCAAAATGTCATCTAGATCCATTCAGCCGCTTAGGCTACAAACTCTAATAAACATCCATTCATCAATCTAAACTTTGCATTTATCATATTAGTAGGATAGCTTAATATTGTTGATGTTTGCATATTTTTGATATTATTAAAAGAAAATCAAAAAATGAGAAGTAAATCTATCCATCTTGGGCTAGCATGGTTTGTCCAAGACAACAATGGGCTCAAGACTGTATGAGATCACGTGAAAAATGATGATTGTATGTTAGGAATAGGAAACACCAATCGCTCCATTTTAATGACTATGCGTTGAATTCCGATAAAGAATTGTCTAAGGATATAATCAGACAAACGCAAACAGTACATTCGCTGCAGTCATCTCATAACATCTGACTAATGATTGCGCTGATGATTTAATTATAAAGGTAACCGTGTTGATTGTGTCCTCCAGTTAGGCGTGACGTGTTAACGACCTGTGAGACTTCTGTCAAACAGCAAACAGAGCGAGGATAGAGTAAACAGTCAACACTGTTTGTTTGGCCGCGGTCCTCTCTGTGGCTGAGGACGACGCGGTGGTCGCGCCGTGTGACGGCCTCTTGTTAACTTTCCAACTTGATAAAGTTATCCTGAGTTTCCACTGCAAAACACCCGTACAAAAGGTTATTGTTATCTCAGTTTTCAAAGAAGAAAGAACGGGACGACAATGTTTTTGTAAGTGTTTCGTCGAGGACAACAACGGATAAAACTGTGAATCATATTTTGTGTAACTTACTTTTAATATACCTAATAGTGAAAATAGTAACGTGAATATGAAATCTATAACATTAACTAATGTTATGAATTCGTGATGAAAATTTTCGTATTTGTGTACTTATTGTATCTTTTTTTGATAAGAGTCGTATCATATTGTTTATAAGCTTGTCTCTAATTCTAATGATTCACGGAGAATATCGACTAAGCATTAAATTTAAATGTGAACTATTTTGTTTACGCACTTGAATATTTACTATTTAGGTAGTAAGGACGTATAGTGTGCTGATAGGTAATGTTATGACATGAAAGAACATAATATAGTAATACAGAAATAGTGGCGAAGTGCGAATTGTGTCTGAACGTGGTGTTCTCTTGCTTGCTGTTAAGTTGCATTTAACTAAAATGTTTAAATCAACTTTAACTCTGATCCCTAATTATCCCACAATTGATGGAAACGAATAAATAATTTAGAAAAGCAGTTAAATTGTTTGTGTTGAATCATACAAGTATGTATAAACTCGTTATGCTATTGCAATCTACTTCTAGTCAATACCAACAAGCCAGACGAATTCTTGATTGCGACCCAAACGGCCCAAACTAATTAAAACGAGTGGCCATCACAAACTGGTCCGCTAGACGAGAGTTATTAAAATACTTTTATAATTGCAGATATTTTAATCAAATGTTATTTTTGCAACCGACTTGTAGGTCAATGCATTAGATGCAGTAAACTATATTTAAGTTGTAAGCATCGAAATACTTTATGTCCTAATTGGATCTATTCTATTTCTTGTTTATAGCTCTCCCTCAGCGGATTGGGCCAGTGTTAAGTTATCCTAATTGGATCAGATTGACATAGAAATTGCAGTTATTAACTTTTTTATTTATAGCATTATGACATACATTCCTTTGGATTACAATTTCCTAAACACAAACTTTCCCTAAAAAACAAAAACACTGCAAGTAAACGAATAAAGTACAATCAACTTAAATACTTCTTTCCATTTCTAATTAACAAACAATTCATTTAATCGTATCTGATATAAATTAATTTTATTCAGGTTTAATTATTTATTAGTTTATACGTTGTAATGAATTGTAATCAATGTATAGGTGAGAGCTGAGGATCGATAATAAGCGGGGTGGGCGTCAGAGGGCGGTGGGGGCGTCGGGGTGCGGCGGCGCGTTTGATCTGACCGCGGAATGCCTATGAACATCGGTTTACACAGCACTTAGCGGCATTCCTCCTCGCGCCGCCATCATCATCTAATAAAGACATTCAATATTCATAACTGTATTAAGGATATTAATTCTTTACACTAACTTCCGTATAAAAATTACGCTCATTTATATTGTGTAATAAACCCTGCGTAAACATAGAAAAATACTCGTTTCATAGTTTATGTTTCTTTCATTTCTATTTGGGTTGGCTGGAGTAATCCATGCCCTATTCTCACGCAAAATACGCGCTAGCCGTGGAGTTGCGGAAACCGTAGCCCTTACTACTACTACTACTACATTTCAAAAAAAATTATGTATGCGAAATACGGAATTGAATTTCATTTTTTCGTCTTATTTAAATGCCAATTTGAATTAAGTAAAACGCGGATACTCATTACAAACACAAGTAATTCTTCAACACAACCTTTTGTTATATAACCACAAGGATAACATTTGATCTCACTTAAGTTGTGCCTGGACTTTAATAAGATTTCTAGATTTGCATTACACCAAAAAGAAAACTAAACACTGCGAAAGGAACCACTCGATGACAGAGACAATTTCTAAGTTTTTCTATTCTGTTTTTACTTTATTCTGTTACTAGCTTTCGCCCGCGACTTCTTCCGCGTGGAATTAAAAATAACAAAAGTAATTGGCCTATGTGTTCTTCCAAACTATCATATGCATCTATGCTAAATTTCATCGAGATCTGTTCAGCAGTATAGGCTACAAACTCCACCAAACAACTATCCAAACTTGTGCATTTATAATTTTAGTAAGATTATTCTAAAAGCATAATAGTTACTTTTTACCAATCGCAACTCTAAAATATATATGTATAGCTAATTTAGTGGCCATTTGTCTGTTGACCATGGTTTTGTGTGGATTTTTTCCTTCATTTTAGTCCATTATTTAACCTTGTGTATAATTTAATATTTTATCGTTTCTTTTGATCAATGTCGAAATGTAAATCGTAAAGAAAAAAACAAATGTTTTTTTGGCAACAATTTAAGCAGGTACAATTAATATTAGTTTATTTCAATTTCATGTACATTTTCATTGCAACGGAAATGGAACGTTGTTGCTTGTATGTTTTCAGACGAAATAATTGACTACAAAACAATAATTTAAACTAAAATGTGAAACTTTATATTGTTTAAAATGAGTTGTACTTTATAGAATAAAATTTAATTAAGTCTTATTATATTGATTCCAAGACATGATAGATATAGTCTAAAAACTATCTGATTTTCCTAATTTTTTGTATTTTCTTTTATAAGAGAAGCAACAAAATGATCGGAGGGAACATCCCCAACATTAGGGATATTGCAAATGTATTGCTGGAGTTTGAAAAACAGATAAGCTCGCTTCCTAATAAAACAAAAATACTTATTTGGAAGTTACCATATCTATACTAATATTATAAAGAGGAAATATTTGTATTTTTGTATGTATTGGAACAAATCAAAAACTTGGTCGATTTTGAAAATTCTTTCACTATTAGAATGGTAATTTATCTGTGAGTTACATAGGCTACATTTTTTAGTTTCACGCGAACGAAATCGCGAGCATCAGCAAGTATTTTATAAAAGGATAAAAGTAAATAATACGACGATTGGAAATGGATTAACATGTTTATTAGTTTATCAAATGTGTTTCGTGATAGTGCCACGTACATACTAACATATCGGTGTTCACAAACGTTTCTCAAACATCAACACAACGTCTAAATACAACAAGCCCAAATTTCGTGATACAAAATATCTTAATATTACAAAGAATCACTGGTGTAGCAAATACAACGCAAGGAGAAACTCACTTTTAGCACCATCTTACACGTTAAAGGCATTAAAACAAAACATTGTGATAAACATTCCCTAATATTCCTTTTATACGAATAAATAAAATGCAACACTGTCACATGTGTCAAAATATAATAATCAACTAAATACACGGACTCCCCTGTACAATTCTATGACCAAAATCCTTTAAATATTAGGTTAATATGGCGTGAAAGATTTTTATAGTGTTATTCCTTTAAAACTGAGATACGAATTATACCAAAAAATTAATCTAATATATACAGAACAGTTTATCAACTACAAATAATCTCATTCAACATGAAAATAATCATTAATAATTTCTCAAATCGATGACGCGGTAAATCACTAAAAATAATTTCACTGGGGATTGGGACAAAATTATAATGAGATTCGTATTTAATTCTTAACATAGTACATGTAAAATACGCTCTACAGATAATTAAATTAATATTTTATCATTATAACTTTGATTTTCCAATATTCATAATAAATTAACATTAAAAAGTTGTAAGACACATTTTATTAAAGAATGAAATGACTACAACTCTTTCATTCCTAAATTTTATTAATCTCATAAAATGCAGCCACCGATTTGAGAAACTTTAATTAGGCACTTAAAATAAAATCAATTTAATTAATACTTAATGTATTATAATAATATAAAAATATAATTATCTATATTTACATTTAAAATCAATTATTAAATTATTGTTTCACATACGGCGCGAAACCAAAAACATTAATGAACGCGTTAATTGTTGACTACCTATGTCCGTTCAGGGTCAAAAATAATATTAAGTTTATACAGTTCATAGCCCTAGTTCGCGGACTTTATCCATTAAGAGCGTTATACATGTTCACAATTATTAATAAAATAAAAGAATGTCATTATTAAATAAAGCCTGAGTACTAGAGGCGTACATGGCGATTGCCATACGATGACAGTATCAGGGTAGCCACCATACTTTACCTATATGAATACAAGTCACCTTGTACGTTAGTGTACATACATATTCTCACGAGAATATTGCACTAATTTATCACATATATTACAAAGATCAAGTCTATTTAATGCAGTAGTCATAATGTTTACACACACTAGTGGTTTTAAGTTAAAACTGTCACTTCACTCACTGTCCATAGGCATCAGTGTGAATACTAAAGTTCTGTTGCTGCGGTCACAGCAGGGGGACCGGCGGCACTCCGGGGACAAGCGGCTCTGGTACCCCTTGTAAGACACCTTGGTGATAGTGATGGTGATGCATCATACCGTTCATCATCTGCTGGTGATGAAGCATGGTCGCGTGGTGCAGCTGCGCGTGCTGCAACGACGCGTGATCGCCTTTTTCTTTCATCACGACTTCTTCGCGTTTCTTCACCTGTTTGCGCTCCTTGGCGCGACGATTTTGAAACCATATTTTTACCTGTAAGAATTTGATTAATTAGTATGTTTTGTAATAAGTGGAAAATGTTGAAAATGTATCTGTGATCTTTAAATTAATTAAAGTCAAATTATATAACATGGATAGTTATTGTTTACCCTAAATGCATCTCTTGATAGTTGCTTAGACATCAGTTTACCTGTCTCTCTGAGAGTCCAAGACTAGCCGCGAGCTCTGCCTTGCGTCGGATTGTGATATACCGACTGTAGTGGAACTCCTTCTCCAACTCCAGTCGCTGGTGATCCGTGTACACGACACGGTATTTATCTTTTGTTCGTGTTTTACCTACAACAAAGAAATTTAACATAAGTTTAGCGCTTTACTGACTTCCTAGATAGTAAGAGTATTAAAGTAGTGGATTTATATTCTCCTACGTAGAAGCTAGAAGTAGACTAATGTTAATAGATTTTTCCTAAACCCTCATAGTAATAAAAAATGTCAAAGTGATTTTTCTTTATTTTTCTGCTAGTTAAAACAGCAAATTATTAAACTAATAATCTGTACTGAAAGACGAAATGTTATGCTTTTAAAGTAACATGAAATAGATGTGAATTTTTCCGTTTGCGCATCATATTAATACCTACGCTGTAAACAAATACACAGACATTCTCTAGCATAAATTCAAACATGTAGATAAATGTGAGGGCGTTCCTTCAATTAAATATTTATTCAAGATTATGAACTAACTAATATTTAACGAACTGCATTTAAGTGAAACAAAACGTCTGTGTAATTTACAGGTCAGAGTACCGAGACAGTAATTTAAACGTCAAAAGAACCAGAGAGGACCTAATTGATGAAGTATTCTATAACATTTTTTCATTGGACTGAGATTTTTATCTTCCCATGGTAATGGACTAAAATGCTGATTGAGATTTAACATTTTATTGATTAAATAAAATATGCTATTTTAAAATGAGTTTAGAATCGCTGTTCTTTATTTTTTTTTTAGCTGTACATTTAAAAAGAAAATCAGAATCTAATAACACTCTAACTTGCCAATAACTTTTAACAAGGATATAGGGGTTTGAAGAGTTCTTTAGTTGGTTGCTAGGATACGGTCTGTAGGAGTGAGTCCCTCGAGTTCGATAAGGTAAATCCAGCCGCGGCACTACAGAAGCGCCGCGCCACACCACGGCTTACTGTCGGGATTAGACCGGGACCACACCGCGCGTTGCCTACCTTATTATACATGTACAACTATATCATAACTTATACATACATAAGTAAAAAATCCATAATAAATTTATCATAAATAATTGTAAATTAATTAAAGAACGAAGAAGGTTTTTAATGTTTATTTTTTTGTAGAAATAAAAGCAAGGTACATTTTTTCTTATTTAAAACCAGACTGGTTATTTAATTTATTCGTAATTTATGCATCAGTCAACCCTCAGTTTACGACCCACGATTCAACACGCATCAACTCACAAACAAAGGAAAATACATGGGATTTTTTTTCACATTCCGTGATTGTGTCGAAAAATGTTAATTTTTATTTACAATTTTTATCTGCGACGTAGATTTCTCAACGAGTAAAATTACCGAGATACGTAGATCTGTGTACATAACACTAAGACACAGCTGAGACGTCTTGTGTACTCGGAGTTGGTAAATATTCCTTATCTCGGTATTAAGAACTTCATAAATTATGTTTGTCACATGGAAGAGAATCGGCTCGGAATTAGAGGCGTTACGTAAACTATGTCGCTACGAGTGCGTCGTACTCCAGCAAATAGAAGCCCGTTTCATTTATTGCGTGTAATTTATTCCTTGACAGATTATCCTGCTCGTCTCAACCGCAAACAGTAAAATTGCTTAAACGTTTAGCTTTATCATTATCACTATTGTAATTGTTTAGTCCTGTTTTTATCAGAATTTGTGAGTAATCATACCGCATACTAATATTACAACATCGAAAATTTAGATGGATTGATGGATATTTGTTAGAAGGTATCTCCAGAATACGTCAAGGAATTTTAATGATTTTTTTTAACTGTTTAATAAAAGCGTGAAACATTTTTGATTTGCTATGTTCAACAAAGCTCAATATTTGTGATTCAGTCTAGTGCTACTGCCTACGATGTGTTAATTCCAATATTTTTTTATCCGAATATCTGAACAAGAATGTTGATAACTTGAAATTATTAATATAAAGTTGCAAATAACTTGGTATCTATAAAATTATACAATGGCTATCTGTCTAATACAAAAGGGTTGAAAATCAACACACTGGCATGTTTGTATAGCGTCTACGGCCATTGTACAAGGTACCGACATACCCGTATATCTATTACTAGATAAACTCTTTGGGAGAGCTTGAATGACACAAAATTATAACTTAAATAAATTTCCTGTTAGCGAAGCAAACAAAAAGCGAACTAGAAAAGCAAACAGAATATGCTCTATCTATAGGCGATGCGGTGTTTGATAGCGGGTGTTAATTTTTGTAGCAAACGTGGCTGGGGATGGACCCGGCGAAGGCGGGCGCCTCGCACTTGCCTCTCACATCCCACGTGTACCAAGGATTTTCTGACATCTTAATAAGCATTTTTGATTAATTTGCATCTTATAGTTTTACCAGAATTGATTAGGGAGCTATGGAAATAATTCTTTAAATTGTAAATAAATAAATTTGCCGACAGTTAAGAGTTCACGTATACTTATAGACTTTTTATCGGCCGATAGTTTGATCGGGTCGGATTGTCATGCCAAAACCATATAAAACAAAATCGGTTTTATGTGCGCGCCTCCATGCAAGCTCATACTGATCAAGCGCCCGACTAAGATATCGGCCGATAAAAACTGTATGGGTGGGGGGGGGATAAGTAAACATTATTCGTCAAATACATGTGTCGTATGTAGGTACATAAATGATGTAAATTATAAAACAAACAATGTAATTGATTGATCCGTCATACTTGTCTATTACTTTAATGATTGCCATCATTTGTTACTAAAAGTCGACAATGTAAGAAAAATAAAAACAAACGTCACAAAATACGTTACTTCCATAAGGTGTAAAAACATAATCGATCAAAATTTGCGTCACTACTTATGTAGTAAACTTCAATGGACCGAATGGCAAGAAAGTTTTTATCGTGGCAAGTTATATAGAAAAAAAATGTTGACATTTGACAAACAGCGCGGGCGGGCGAGCCGGGATGAGGCGAGCAACACTTTTTTAGTCTGTGGTTATCGTCGACAAATACACTGGCTGATAACAAGGATATGAGGGGTGCTTTTGCGACCGCCATTAAAGTTTAACCCTTTTTATTTTGCAAAGGTTTAACTAAACACTAGTAGAAAAAGATTCCATTTCGATAGTAATTATACAGATTAAATATATAAAATATGATCATATATTCTTCAACAATTTAAAAAAAACAATATAGGTCGCTCTAAAAAAAGAAAGAAAGATTCACATAGGAAGCATGCAATAACGCAGACCTTATCTAATTTAACGATCGTTTTTTAATATAGTTCTGAACTGCATTACATTTCACGGTCTCTTGTTTATGCAGAGCGCATGTTGATTGGTATTTAATGAACAGTCCGCAGTGAGTTATCTGTCGCGGTATCAGGCATCGATTACACGTGTACATCACGTATCAGTACATCGCGGATAGCTTGTCCAACACCGTGTTAAACGCGATTTGTGAAAGGAAAACAATTAATCGACGGTTATCGGTTACGCTCGACTCTTTGTCGGCGCGCCGAACACCGAAATCCCGCTTTCAGTAATACGCGATTATCGCGTTCGGCCAGCGATAGCGGCACCTTTGTAATTGTTGATACAACGCCTCGTATCGCCGAGTTACCTTCTTGTAAGCTAGTAATGTGTTTTTGATGGACGAGGGCGCGGCTGCTATCTGGCCGGGACGATAACGCTACGACAATCACGATCCATCGTGATCTATGAGATACAAATCGATCCTGAAGATTTCAGATCCACTCGAGTACCTCTTGAATAAAGATTCTCAGATCGAGTAGGTACTTAAACGGTAGCACTCCCGTGGGAGGGCCTCGTCGGAGAGTTTGAAGAGGACGGACTGTAAAGCGAAAGGGAACTTTATATACTGGTTTACTTCTATTTAGGGAACCGAGACGACCCGGTGCCCGCCTCGGCGACATAAATATCCACAAATCGCAACATTACATCACAGAATTTGTGTTTGAAAACAAATCATTGTGTACTATCAACATAATTTATTGCCTGAACATATTAGCTACTCACAAACAAGTTTCGAGATAAACAAGTTCAAATAAAGGAACAATAAACGCACTAATAAATAAACAAAACTGTGCATGTGCGAAACAATACGATACATTCTGTAAACTTGTCACTAATTTTGTTGCAGCTATTAATACAGGATAAGGAGTTCTCCTAAAATTCTTTACCCGATTATGGTTGTATGCTATTCGTACATTATTATTACATTATTGTATAATTACAAATAAAAAAAAATTACAAATCACGAGTAAAAAAGCATTACAACTGGTGAGAATTGAACACCACTACCACACAACAGGAGAATAGTGAAATAGAAAGCTTGTCATGTGCAGAATAGAGAATATTGATGAACCTATTAAAAAAAGGAAAAACTAAATAAATGAATGGTACACAAACACCAGAGACAAGCACACTTCATCGCTCCAATACCACCATGTTTAAGAACAAACACCCAATCAACATCATCATTAGCGGCCGGGTCCAATGCGCACAACACAAACAGTTAACTATTAGACCCAATTTACAGCTCAAGTGTTGACAGCAATTGACAGGCCGACAGACGCCGCAGTCAAACATCGATTAGTTACGATCGCAAACAATAACAAAACAATGATCGCCGCCTACTGTATACTTTTACGTTTTTTGCCAGACAGACTCCCCGGGGCGTGACCACAACAAGACGGAACTTTCGACACTCATCGGCCATTTTTCTTAAATCCCCATTCACCGCATCATGTCGGGCGGTCGTAACAATAGATGAGATACGTTTAGCGGCCCATTTCATTCAACGAAATGTCAAAACTCGACCCGTCAACTATTCGTGAACGAATCAGAACAAACGGAGAAATATTTCTACGAACATTCCCTTCTTTATGTAAACTGGCGTTGACAAACAGACAGAAAGGTTAGAATACACAGAGCCGGTTAGGTAGGTACGTTGTGGATACGGCTCTGTGCAAATATAGGAGTAAACAGTGCGCTAGATACTCCTATTGATACAACATAATGCTTTGTGTTTAAATGTCGCATTTATAAATGTTTCATGTTATACGAATTTAATCGACAGTTATATTATTTAATGATACCGCATTATACTTTAAAACATACACAAAAGTTCAGTTGTAGACTGTTAATTGTAGAAATTAATATTGAAATGCAACACAGAAATGCTACTTGAATTTATTTTTCAATAGGTTAAAATAAATAATAAACAAAACCGTATTCATATTTGCGCCAATTTTCCAAAACATCCGACAAGAATAACATTAAAAGTTCAACTATAAACAAAGTTACAAGTGGAACGGAGCAGCAATGCACTAAATAAAGACAATGGCTTGTACAATTACATTTGGAGTCGCGACCGCGCTAACTTGGCGAAGATTTGTTCGCGAAGTTCCCCAGGGAGCAGTTGTCGGTTATTGTCGCCGGGACATCCCCCTTACCCGATTAATTGCCAACACCGCGGGCTCGTTCCCAGGGTACGCGTTAACAGAAATGTTCTTGAACAACGTAACTCGAATGTAAGTAATGATAATTGCATCGACATGCAATAGCATATGGAAATTTAAACTTTTAGGAACAAGAATGTTAAAATGAACTATGTCACTCGATAAATTATTTCTTAAAATGTATTTGATGAACAAAAAAGTGACAACAATTTTAATTATTCACAATGCAGGGGTAAATTAAATTGCTCAGAAAATACTATACTTTGTGATAAGTATTAGCTTACACTAAACTTTAAAAAAAGTAATCCTAACTTATACGTAACATCCTATAATGTACGCTAATTAAATATTTCTACAAATAAACATAATCTTGCAAAGGAACGTACAAATAATATGTTACTCAATAGAATTCAAGGAAAGGTAATCAATTGCGAAGTCATAGGTAACCTTAGAAAATGGACAGTGACAGAGAAAGTCAACGATCACAGGTGCTAAAACATTTTCCTATTCTGTTACCTAATAAGACGAGATTCGCGGTACATGCGAAGCTTTCGAGCTTTGTACTGACTATGGAGTTCAGGCGGGAGTTGAATAAAACAAATTTCCATTACTCACATAAAAACACTATGATTATTATCTGAAGGCTTCGATATGTAGATAAAATTTGCATGTATCAAATTATATGTTACACGCCTACGTAAACGTAATTATAATTTTACGTACCGCAACTTGATGGCTGTTATTTGAAGAGCGGTCAGTTGGCGCGTTCCCGTTTAATCCAAGTTTAGGGCTATTGTTACACGATATTCAATATTTATTAATTGTTCACGCTTTGAGTACTTTTACAAGATGACTAGAAAGTGTACATTGTATGATAACGTAATTGTCGCGTGCCTATCGCTTTTACAATACTGTGATTGACAATAATAAATTAATTAAAATACATTTTTGTTTTACCTCTAGCTGTCCCGATAAAGGTCTTGCTGTAAAAGTATTACGAGTATTGTTAAATTTTCATTGTTATTTTTCTATGTGCTGTTTTTATTAATACTCGTGTGGTTAAATTTCTTAGCCGCGATTTACATGATATCAAAATTATAAAGATTACCTTTACAGGGGTTTATGAAGGCATAAAAAACAAGCTATTCATTGATTTTTTTAAGATATATATTACTCGCTTCGGCATCTTTTGAGATACATCTCAAATGGTAACAATTCGTCACAAAGGCGACTAATGTAGTATGAATTGACCTTTTTGATGTAGTCGCAATAGTCTTTACTAATACTACGGAAACTCCTATAAAACTATAGCTAGGATGAACCTTATATAAAATATATAGTTAAGAAAAAGTAGCCGTCTGTTATAGCTAAATCTATTACGATTGTCATTGTTACACACTTCTAATGTATTACACATAAAAAATTTTATTGTTAAAGAATATAACCTCATGCGGCTATTTCGGAAGTGGCAAAATAATTCAGTTATTGTAGTTTATTGGGGTATTAAAGTAAAAGCTTTTGGCTAATGAGCTTTACGAACACTATTAAACGACTATAAAAATATTGTTTAGTATATTTTTCTACATTTTTTAAGATTTCATCCTAAGAATTTACTTTCATATTATTTAAGACAGAGAAAACATAAAGGCGGTTTAAGCATACCGCTATTAATTTTAGCTAAGTTTAACTAAGAAGTACTCTAAAACTTCTGAAGAGCTTTCATAATTTGAAAAGCTAGAAGACCGTACCATTTATTTATCCATAAAATTGTTAACATTTTCTATATGCCTAATTTGAATTATATCATAATTTTTATACCTTTTAATTTATATTTTAATAATTAACGTAAATATGTTGATGAAGATTTATCTAAATCAATATTTTGACCATAAAAATAATCACTGAAGTACCCAATAGGAAATAATATATCTTTATTATATTAACACAATGTACGATATTTGTGATAACTATATATTACCTAGTTTGTTTTACAACTAAATATTTAATCCTTTGTACTTAGGAAGTGATAAAAACTGATATGTACTATGGTACTAGTTTTATTATAATAGTACACAATGTTTGTATTCTAGGTACATTTGAAATAAGAATAATAAAATTGCGGTTTACTTACACGATGTAATAGAAGGCATAAAGTAGCAACTCTTGTTTCAATTATTTTACACCATTATGCGTATTTAAGAGTATGTAAGAGGTTAGTACAAAAACGAGATTTTTAAAATTACTTTTCTTCTTTAGTTCAAGTTAAAAGCTTTATTTTACCTTGGACTTTAAATGGGAAATGTTATATACAAATTATACAATCAAAATAAATCCCTAAATTCGATTCTATTCTATTTCTACTTTATGGCTCTCCCTCAGCGGATTGGGCCAATGTCAACTGTTTGTGGTTTTATTCTAATTTGGGAGAATCCCTAAATTCTGAAAACAGTACAGACAAGAAGACATGCTTGTTTTTAAAATCTTAAACGCCAAGTCAAAGCCCAATTAAATAATAGTTTCTATAAAAAAATACACATTGCAAATAAATAATATCCTCGTTATATTTGATTTATTATTTTAACCTTAAAACTTTTAAATGTCCGTGCATTTAAGTATGTGAATATGCATTCAGTATTTAGATGCAATTATTTTTGTTTTTCAAAGAACTAAAATATAAAAGCAACAAATGCCAACAACTAAAAACGAACGATTATTTCCAACTGCATCACAAATTATATCGATTAGTTACGCATCAAATCACGACTCGATTCGACCTTCCTTAAACTTGATTGTGCAGATTTTTTACAGAAAAAAAAACATTTTAATTCTGGCCATTTAAAAATCAACAAAAGAAACAATAGAATATTGAAGACCAGAAGTATATGCCATAATAGTGCCATATATTTTATTCCGTGGTTTTATAATCTATGACCACGATTTGTTTTAGATTTTAAATAATTGGACAGAGTACAGGCTTGATTGCTGATAAGTAAATCATTACCTAAAGCTGCACATGACGGTTAATAGTTCTAAATACTTGAATTATTAAATTTTCAGTGATATAGTCTATTGGCGGAAATAAATGGATCTTGAAGACGTAAATTTTTAAGGAATATGGAGTTTAATGCTGGCCTTATTTAAAACACTGTTAAAAAAAATAAAAAAAAAATGTAGACGAATTGAGTACCTCCTTCTTTTGAAAAGTCGGTCAAAAATGTATTATATCGTTAAGTAAATAAGTAGTAAATGTCTAACAACATAGCAATAAGCGTGAATAAGATTTTTTTGTCTTTACGTTCATAGCGTCCCTCATATTGACCTCGTTATTTTTATATCGAACCCTCTCATTTCTTTGAAAAAAAGAGAAAGATATATTCTATTACAACGGTAGAAAAAATTTCACGGTAAATAACATGATCCATAAATGCGATTATGGTTCAAAAGCATACCCTCTCTTGTTACAATGGAAAATAATAACAAATACAGACAAATTGGGATTAAAACGAGTTCTAACCTAGTTAGATTTTTGCCTAATAACCGACATATTTTTTTACACTAGATGGAAAGTTTAGTCTAAGTTTAAGTTAAGTGAACACAAATACAATGCTAAAAACTTAATAAAGCAACACTAAAAAATTCAAGCCATTCTTTTATAGGTACTATATACATATGAATATAACCACATACCTAACATAACTCACCATCCGACGGACTTTTTATTAAAGCAGGAAACTTTCAATTGCGTTGTTAATAATCAACAAAATTTGTTTTTGTAACACGATGGAAAAGGCATTTTTATACTCATATATAGCAACTTTTAATTACTTCAGAAGTTAAAGAAAAGACAAACCACAAAAATAAGATTTTGTATCTTTTTTTATGCTGAAGGAAAATTTATAATTCGTTTCCTAACAGATGATAATTAGTGACATTCATCTAATGTACGGTAAAGACAAAAATCTTTAGTAGAATTTCTGCTACCCGGCAAGGATTATGCAGTTTAACCTATACTAAGTTATACGAGTTTACGAGTATATATATATACATTGTACTCTTAATATAGATGCTTGATATTTTACAATTGAATCGACATTGATATTAAAAGCAATGTAGGTAAAAATGATCAATCACCAAGTTAGACAAGTTGTATTACGTTCTATGACAGGGATTTATTCTGATGACTTCTTTGATAAAATGGATGGGAATGTAAGTCATGATATCAACATTGGAGATTTTCTAGAATTATTAAAGAGACAATGATGCGACATGTCGATAAAGCACCGTCATAAATAATTAATTAGTAATCAAATATTTGTAGGTACTTGTAAAATAAAAACCTGGATTAGGTTGCGTCTGGTAGTTGGGTTTCTTCATCCACTCGTAGGGGGAGCGCGGCGGGCCGGGCGGGTGCGGCGGGTGCGCGGGCTGCGAGGAGCGCGCGCCCGGCGAGCTCTCCCCGGGGCTGGCCAGGTCCCCTCTCGCCGGCGAGGGCATCTCCCCGACCTCCCGCTCGCCTGGCTCACGCTTCGGGAAGTGGTGCGGCTCCGCAGGCCATTCCCCAGCGGGCGCGGCGTTCCACGCCGACCACTGCTGCTCCTCATAGTTCTGATGCTGCCAGCCGTACCAGCCGCCCGCGCCGTACTGGCCGCCCTTGCCTTGGTACATGGCGAGCGGGTTAACGTAATTCACCATGCTGCGATCACCGTCCGAGCATCGCACACACACTCGCCGTCACAACACTGCCGTGCCGCTTGCCGCTGTCGGTCGCTTGTCTGTCGTCGGTCGGACTACGTTGGGCTACAATCGAGGCTGCGCCGCGCGGGAGGGAGCGATAGCGACTGAGGCCGGCGCCGGCTGAAGGCTCGGGACCGCGCCGACGGCGGGGCGGCGCCCGCGAGCTGCCGCTGTCCAATGGCGCAAAGCCAGCCGGCTCCGCCCCGCTGCCGCCGCGCCCCATGCTATCGCCTAATTTGCCTAATTACGATGAAAATAATGGACACCGCCGCGATGAACTTTGCTCGAACCCGCCTGAAAATATTGTAAACGAGATGATAACACTGCGTTTAGAATAATTTATTTAGGATATTTGATGTCGCCTAGGAAAGTTTTTCATCCTTAAATTACCTTTCAAATATTTATATGAGAGTCAGAAGAGGCATTTATTGTTTATAAACACATTTTTAACTATTTATCTTTTTATATGAACATTTCATTTACAAATTTCTCAAAAACCATGATATTGAGTAAAAGAAATCTTAGATTATAAACCACTAGCTGTCGTCCCAATTCTGTCAACGCGGAATTTAAAAAAGCTTAATTGAAAGCTTCTGTGTTCTTTCAGACTATATTATACCTACCTATATCTAGGCATGGCAAATTTCATCGATATTAGCTCAGCCGTTTAGGAGATACCTTGTTACAAGCATCCGTCCATCTATCTAAACATTCGCATTTATAGTATTATATTGAGAAGTAAAATTAAAATCTTTATTTTCTTGGCATTAAAAGTACCTACCAAAATGGTTTAAGTTTTGGAGGTCAAAATGTCAAAATATATTCCGTTTAACCGATTTTTTTAAATAACTGGAGAACAATATTATTTACAAGATGCAATAATAAATTGTGCGATGTCGAATATTATCTGTTGTCCGTCTGTTGTGATCATAACTGCCTATATAATATCTTGTATATTTGATTCCTTCAACTTCATTCTATAGGTATCGCTTTCGAAAGTCACAGCTAAGTTTGATAACTATGACAGTTTAAAAACACGCGTGTTTTAAAAACTAGATTAAACAAAGATTAACCTAATCTTCAAGGTACTGGAGAGAGATTTAAAGTTAATCTGTTTAAAAATTAACACAAGAACATAAAAATTAATAAACAAACAAAAATTTCAAAATAACCGATCAGTACCCGAGCAATTTTAAGTATTTGTTTACTTACCTGGAATTACTGCAGCGCGTATTTGAAAGGCCCTTCCACTTTGTTCTAAGTTTTATGACCATCTGCTTATCCCGTTTGCGAAGCCGCCAAAGGTTTAGGCTATTGTCTAACAATACGAGAAGTTAACACTTTATTGCGGGCATTTAATGCATTTTATTACTTAAACAGACAAAACTAAAATGGGATTTAAATATTTTTTAGACGTCCGCTTATTGCTGTTAGATCTAAAGATGCTAGCTGCATACTGATAACTAATTGCCGTAAAAAGATTCAATACCACAAACACTTTCAATAACTAACGCATATTTTGTTTGGCTTTTGCCGAATTTCATAATTAAAAAAAACTGAATTACTACTCTATGCGCTAATCTGGACTGTAATCTATCTCTGTTCCAAATTTTATCGTATTGGTCCATGTCGATCTATTTTACGTCATCTCAGTCGTTACGTTACTCCCTTCTTGATCATGTCATAATTTACGCAATCCATTAAACTCATCCTATACCTACGTATCGGTGTACCCTTTCAAATTTATAATCAAAGTTTTTAAGGAAAATTATTGGATTTAATTAAAAGAGAAGTTAATTTAGAAAAATCAATAAACTTCACTTACAACATTAGGGGGGATAAATGAATCGATAGACACCTTAGGGTGCAGTTTCATCTATGATATTTCAGATGTACTAACATAATAAAGCGTAAACACACTACTTTGTGGCGTAAGATGTCAGCAATCATAGCATATTTTTATTCTTTCTTTAATAAAAAGCCCTACATTTACGACATGCTTTAGGCTATAAATTTTCACGCTATTAAACTTAGTACATAAATTAGAAAAAAATCTTCATGAGGGACATATACTACAAACTGCCAACATTAAGGAATCAGGATTTGACATTTGCATTTAAGAATTGAGAAATGTAAAAAAAAACATACAGACGAATTGAGTACCTCCTTCTTTTGGGAAATCGGTCTAAAATAAAATAAAGTTTTTATAATTTCACGCGGATGAAACCTCACGAGAACAGCTAGTGTATCGATAAGGCGGTCATTATACAGCACACATAGGGCGAGATCTTTTCTTACACGCATGCCATAGCATCCGAATACAAACTGTTTTCATTAGTGGACAGCGACCGCATAAGGTGGGTGCGTTATATCCTTCAACTAAGTCCCCTTACGACGCTTGCTTAACCTCGTCCGATTATTTTCATTAGTCGTTAGCCATAATTTGTGGTGCAGCTTGCAATCGTTCGTCTAAATGTCTTTACCTCTATAAACTAGCTGTTTCCTGCGACTTCGTCCGCGTATTATTAAAAAAACAAACACACAAGAAATTATGTAATCTTCATGAGCCTGATATTTTTTCATACTCATCATCGATATTCAACCATATTCATTTTGTTACTCCAGACTTCAATCTGTCTCATATTTCAATAAGATATGTTGAACCCTTACTGAATTATCGAATAAACGTGAAAAATAAGAATTAATGTAGTTATCCCACCAGAATCGTAACTATTTTCGAGATCAAAAGTAGCCTACGTGTTCTTTCAGAATGTATTCTACATCTATGCTAAATTTCATCGAGATCCGTTTAACAGTTAGGGCTACAAATTCAAACAAACATCTTTCCATTCATCTAAAGTAAAGAAATTATGTGCCAGATCATGATCTAGGCTATGTCTATGTCTAGAAGGGGGAGGAGCTACCTTTAACATGGTCTTATTCGAAGCAGTTTTAAAATCTATTGCACATTGGCCCCTTGTCTACATTTCACCTTACCCTACGTTATCCCCCTCTGGCAACGGGCAAGGCAAACTACATAATTATACAATGCAAAAAGACGTAAGTACAGTCACATTAGACTAATAATGTGAAGTAATGATCCTTCTGATCACATTGTGTCCCACAAGTTGATTATCAAAAAACAAATTGTTCCCCCTGTGAAGTCGATCGCCAATCGAACTGAATTTTTTTTCAGTGGGCATTTCGAAGTTCGACCCTATGGAAATTTATTTTCCCATTGAGTCACGTCCAAAAATAATTGCACGTTATATAATGATTTGCAAAATAAAACAATCATTTTCAGCAATTTGGTAATGTTTTAATTTTTTAAGATTTCAAGTGATCAAACAAGATGGCGCCCTGTAATGGTGTGGCCATCGCACCACATAGTGTTAACAGATGTAAAAATCAAAACGTAATCTAACGTACATTGTATATTTATCAACAAGGTACCTTATCATATTTATGTAATTTAATTGAAGTAAATGATTAACTTTTATGAAAACAAGTGTAGTATTTTACTACACTTGTTTTCATTTTAGTAAAATACTACACTTGTTAAAACCTACTGTAATTATTTCTAAATTATGCAACACTGCAATTATAATTTTAGCCAATCGGTGCTATGCGTCATTCTAAGTCAAGCGTCAACTCAAAATGAGTGGATTATAATAACCTCTTTTGCGAAATTGTACCATAATGTAAGTTTGTATTTCGTAATTAAAGAATTTTTGCTATTTTTTGTTTGAAATGTTATGAAGAAGCAATATTGCAGCTTGGTTGGTCGTTGTGCTTTGTTCAAAGTTATATTTTTCAATCAGTTTAGTGTTTGTCGTTTGGTTTATCTAGGAAGTATTTGTATGGTATTGGCTTGTTACAGATTATCACATATATAAAAACGTGGATTTCTAATAACAAAATGTCGACTGATATTATTGAGAAGTTGTACCAGAATTACGGAATATTAGCTGATGCAAAAGAAGACATCTCTAAGGTAACGTAAGCAGACATTACTGTTATCGCTGTCTAATTCTTTGAATTCGATTTATGCTATTTCGTAACTGTTATTTATTATTCTTTTAGCATGAAAAAGAATATTTGGAGATTTTGGCGGCTGTAAAAGGATCCGATAAAGAAAAACGTTTAGCATCTCAGTTTATTGCTAAATTTTTTCACAGTTTTCCTAATCTTGCTGATCAGGCCATAGAAGCCCAATTCGATCTTTGTGAGGATGATGATGTTGCTGTAAGTATATAGGCTATTGTTATCATGGATTTACGTCATATTCTATGGTTTGAATATCCATTTATTCTGTTTTATCTAATTTATGAATTGAATACATTTTAGTAATCATAACCATAAATAAATCATAAATAGCAGCTTTCTATTTCATACAGGAACAGATAAGATTATATTGTTACTGTTTACATATAAAGTTTTCAACTATTGTCAAAATATATTTGAGCAGTTTAAAATGTAAACCATAGTTCAGAAGACATGAATATAAATCTAATCATCAATTCCAGATACGCAAGCAAGCAATTAAAGACTTGCCTACAATGTGCAAAACAAACAAAGAACACACTCAAAGGATTGCTGATATATTAGCACAACTATTACAATCCGAGGATGCAACTGAAATTAATGTTGTAACAAATTCATTATTGACTATATTGAAAGGTGACCCAAAAGGTACACTAGCTGGGTTATTTTCTCAAATACATCAAAGCACAGACAGTGAGGTTACCAATGAGATAGTCAGAGAAAGATGTATTAAGTTTTTGGCAACCAAAGTTAAACAACTTGGACGCGAAGTTATTAACAAAGAAGCAGAAGAATTGATTATTGTTGAATGCAAGAAAATCTTAGAGGTAAGTTATATTTCATACAATTAGATGTTCACATGTTCCATTCCGTTATAACTTTATATGAAAGTGAATTCCGAGGCGAGTCTAAAGCACTGAATATGTTTACCTTTTGTGTTATCACCCAATATTTGACATACATATTGTGTTCTCACTGTATACTAAAACTCGGATTAATGGACATTTTTTTATTACATGTCTTCAAAACAGCTTAACAGATCTTAATGAAATTTGTGATGTAGAATTTTATCTCGAAGGATATTGGCTACTTAATAAGTACTAACTTTTTTAATTATTCTACATAACAATCAATTTTCAGGATGTTGTAGCTGAAGAATTTGAGTACATCATGGAACTATTGACATGGTCTCGGCTGGGTAAAACACCAGCGGGAAAGAAGGAACTGGTGCAACTGGTGGCAGCTCTAGCATTGACTCCTGATGACTGGCACCCGGAAGATCCTGAATATATTGACAGAGTCATACAATGCTCCCAACATGCCCTACCATTTTTTTCTGTAAGTATTGATTTTTAATCAGGATTTAAAAACACCATGCTCACTAATCTATACTTCTATACTAATATTATAAAGTAGAAAAAATTGTATTTTTGAATTTTTGTATGTATTGAAAAAGTCAAAAATTACTGGGACAATTTTAAAAATTCTTTCACTATTAGAAAGTGATGGTTTCGCTGAGTAATATAGGCAATTACTAAATTTCACATGGATGAAGTTGTGAGCTAGTATTATTATTAGTCTTGTGTTAAAGTCTTCACATAACTTTGTTGGAATAATGCAAATTCTTTTTTTAGACTCAGGTGGATTCTACACAATTTGTCAATTTCTTTTGTGATCATATTTTGAAGAATTGGAGTAATGTAGCCACTACTGAAGGAAATGACATAAAACTGGAGCTGTTAAAGATTTTTGCTGAAATGACTGAATTTTGTGGTGATTTAGAAAATTTGCAAAGCAAAGTTGACACAGTTTATGATGTTTTAATGGTTGGTAAAATTTAAAACTATTTTTTTTTTTTGAGAAACTGTAGTCTCCAATGTTTTTAGATATATTTATGCAGTGTTGTAAAAATTCAATAGATAAAAGACAAAAAAAAGTATTGCGTTGAGTCATTTTTTGGCATAATTTCAAAGCCTCCAGGCTTCCATTTCTCCCATTGACCAATAGACTGACAGCCAAATATTATAATAAGTACTAAATTACCTGGAAATTTAAATATCTAAGATTGCTCACACTTCAACACCAAATTCCAATAACATTTTGATGTTTAGCAGATGATAAGCAGCTTGCAAAATGACGTGTTTTAGTTTAATTTCACAATTTGGCCATTGCACTAAATGTTATCTGTTTTACAGAATTATCTTCCAGAGGCGCCAGTTGAAGGTGAGGGTAATGATAAAAAGGAAGGTGAGAAAACAGAAGACTCCAAAAATGCGGAACCATCGTTACAATTCTCTCATGTGGAGTGCACTCTGTTCGCGCTCCACTCGCTGTGTAGGAAGTCACCAGAAGTGCTCAGCAGTGACCAAAATAAATTAAAAGCCCTACGTTTGAGACTGCAGTACACGGCAAGACTGACCCAAGGTTACATAAAGAAATTGAAGGAAGTAACAAATGTAAGAATGTCTTTTATTATAAAAAAAATCCTTTTCACAATGTATGGTTAAAATGCTGAATCCTATATTGATAAAATTTGGTGATCCCGGAAATAAGTTTATTTCCGTATACGCCCCTTCTCACTCCATGTTCCTTTTGTAATGGTGAAGTGTATTGAAATTTGGCACAGATATAGAACAGTTACTAGTAACATTAGGATTTTTAATTTTATTCTGTGCAGACTAAATTGCTGGCTTTTATGACCATATTAAAGCACCTAGTATATGAATATAAAATGATTTACTTGGTTATTTTTTCTACAGAGCAAGAAACCTTCAACTGAAATGACAGAAGAAAATAAATTAAAAATTACAGCTTTGAATACAACTTCGAACATCAACACTCTCATTCGTGATATATTCCGTACGCCGCCCAGTTTTAAGAGCAAAGTGCAATTATCATTCCATACAAAGAAGTCGGAAAAAGAGGTTTGTAAACTAATCCCGTGTCATAAATGTTAAATCGAAACAAACTTCAAACTAATTTTATGTTTTTTTCTAGGCTGTAACTGTACAATCGGATGAAAAAGAAACCGACTCTGCTGGTCAAAAACGCCATCAACCAATTACCTTTGACAAAGGAGATAAAGAATCTCCAGTGAAAAGAGCAAGAAGTGGTGACAGAAATATTAAAATGTATACACCACCGTCTGGAAAATATAGTTCACGATTGAGCAATACCAACTCTGGTAGAGGGAGAGGGGGTTATGGTAGGAGGGACTTCCGAAACAATGGTGCCCCCTTTAGAAGGCGCAGCAATTATTAATTGCCAATTAAAAAAAAAACATGGAAAACAGTTATCATAATTGATTCGATATAATTTTACAAACACCAATCTATTACAAATATATAATAGAATGGTTTATTTATCAAGAAATATAATAATTTTAATTATACATTATTTGACAAATAATGTATTATGAATTCCTCAAGACATTATTGATTTTAGTTTGTGTTGAGTTTGGTCTTGGTTGTTTGTCCGTTTCAGCTTCAACAATGGTACAGAAACAAGATGTCTTCTTTCTTCATCCACAGCTAATAACCTATCTCCCTATATGTAGTCACAGGTCTCTCGACTCTAGCATCTAAAAAGTAAGTATGAGTACTTGGTTAGGTCCTAGAATTAAGATGCAAAGATTTTGATGCCTCTCATGGATAAAGTATCTTCTAAGTATGTAAGTATATAATGTAGGTTTTTAATAATTTGTAGATTTGTGTCCTGAATCCTGACATATGGAAATAAGCAGCACTACAGTTCTAGTAAGTAAATATGGTATTTAGTAATTTAATAATTACTAATTTTATTTTATTATAGATTTCCCGCCTACTGTGAATCAGCGCCCATTCCGGACTCAACTGTTTTTGGAAAGGTTTTTAATTTCAGATTACTTCTAGAACCTGTTTTTATTACCACAGAAATTTCGTGAAGATTCCTTTTCTTCATATTGTGCCGCTATTCTATTAATACAATTAATATAAAAAATGTATTTGTTTCATTTTACCTATGCCCAACACTATAATTATTAAGCCCAATGTTATAATTTTTGATACACTAAAATGAAAATATACATCTTTAAATTGTTATTCAATTAAATTATTTTGTGCATTTACAAAGCATTCTGAAATTTCATTAATAGATAATGTTTTATCAAATTCAATATTATATTTAAAAGCAGAAAGAAACAAGATTTATAACTGATGAAATCATAAATATAACTTTATTCTAGGCAGGGAAACACTCATCGCATATTATCAATAACATTACACATTATAAGATCCAGTTCATAAAAGGAGTCCACATTAGCATTAGCACTTTGACTACAATCCATTTGTTCCAATATCTCAGTTGGCATTTTGAAATTCGATTCAATTTCATTTTGATCTGGTAAACTTTGAAGAGCATTTTGTAATATGTCTTGAACCTTATCTAAATGTTTCTGAAATCTGAAAAAAATTAAGAAACATATAAATACACTTCAACCATAAATAGCACCAGTTGTTTAACTACATTTGTAACCTTGCTAATAGTATTAGATGATAATTTTTGACTTAATGTACAGTCATATAGTACAACAAAACTTACCTCATTGCTGTCTCAACCCGTTGCCTTTTTTGTAGTTCCATCATAACTCTAAGGGTCTCTCTTGCTTGATGTGGCCTGAACTCATTTAACAAATGATGAATGTGTATGAACAGCAAGCTTAGATCTTCAACCTTTTCAGCTCTCTTAGGTGAATCCGGACAATGAACAAGTAAATCTAACAGATCTAAAAAGTTAACTAATAAGGAGTGGTTCAGTTTCTTTAGCTCACGGCGTCTTTCAAAATGCATTGGATATAACCGACGAAAGCCCTGAAATTATAATATGGTATTGTTCATATCAATATAAAATATAAAAATAATATTTAGATGTATTCACACTCGTTTCGAAAACTTATTATTATAGTTCTTGTAACTTACTTGGCTTTCTAATGATCTTATTATGGTATCATCAGCATTGAAGGCATGTCCAAACATTGAATAAGAATCATGGATAGGACGTGGTGGAAGTGGTGCTCGATTTCTGCGTACATTATCATCGGTATAAAAGTTTATATACTGCATTGGTGGCAATGGTAAGGAACTGACTTGAGCAGTATCAGAAGACATTTTGAAATTAAGATTAAGCAACTAAGATTATTAAAAGATTATCGAGACACAAAGAACGAATGTTCAGAATTAAGAAACTTAAATAAATCGGGTTGTATAATTTGATAATTCTTTCTTCGCTTTATAATACAAAAATAGTTTGTCTTCAACAATGAAAATTATCGGTGACATTGACATTGACAGACAGGTCTTAAAACTCTATGACTATGATTAACAAAGAGTGCGTAGCGTTGTTATGTTTTGATTAAATAGAAGTATGAGGCCAACGAGCAATATTACTTTATTAACCTCCATGGACATCCCTGTCTAAAGCGCAAAAGCCTAAATTGAAAAAATAAACAAGTTTGAAACCTGAAGTGAAACTTCATCCTAGTGACCGGTTTACATTATTCCAATCCAGCGATTATAATTAGCGTTGAAATACAACATGGAATAATGTAACACACACAAAACGCACTTGCGGTAATCCCATATCTTCTTGACTGTAGATTACATACTATGTTGGACATTCCAGTGCTATACCAATACTGACATACCCACATTACTTCGCATTCGTTGAGCCTATTTTTGACGATTCGACAGCTTTTACTGGATTTGAATGTGAAAACCGGGCATAAATCTTAAATATTGTCTATGGATCTTTCGTGTCTTTGGTTTTCGTCTTGTCCGATTTCGTTTCGCGATTTTTTTCTTATCTGTCTAAAGAGTTGTTATGGTGGTGATTGTATTTTTGTGTTGTTTTGGTTTTGAGTGACTAATTAATAGAACTTTTGAATTTATTTAATTCCTAAGTAAAATTACAATGTGCTGGAGTTAATTCTGACAGGTGTTAATTTTTAAACAAACTCATTAATTATTTTTGAGAGCCGGTCCTAAGGCCGGTTGTTGTTTCATGTTCTTTCCTGATTCATTTTATGGCGAACGATTTTTTTTAACTTAACTGAAAATGTATAACATTATATGGTATATCCCTGTAGATGTCTGTATTCTAAAAAGCTAAATTATGTAATTTATTACTTCTAATTTCTAGTTGATCAAAGGATTTTTTTTTTGATATCGTAAAAATCGAACATGTCCATAATTCCCGACCTGGTAAATTTAGTTACAGTCTTTACATATATATGGTTTTTTAATTGAAATATTAGTCTGTAACATTTAGTATAAGGCTTTTTATTATGTTGTTCCAGTTTTAAAATGTCTACCAAAGAGGAAGATGAGGTGATATGCCAAACTTTTATGATAAAAAGATCTCAAAACAAGAAACTTTTCACACCGGTTAATTACCGAAAAAGATTCTTGGTTCTAACAAAGAAAGCTCTTATTTATTACGACTCTGATAATCAGGTGAGTAATAACAAAATGTTATCTATACCTTTAAATTATAAGATTGCATAGTTAGAAAACTTAAATTATTACAAACATATTTTTTTTTTCATGCTTGCCAGGATTACTAATAGTCACTAAGGTATGAGGAATGTGATCTGTAAATTGTTTGGTCCTATTATTCTTAAACAAATTTGTAACAAATGTATGTGTAAAATGTAAGCTTATTGTGCAAAGGTGTGTTAAATCATTTTTAAATGTTTTATTCCTGTTTATTCCTTTATGCATGTGATAGTAATAGTTCTGTATAGAAATATAAAATATTATTTCTGTTAATATTTATAAACAATCAAACACATCATTTGTATCCCTGTGGGGTAGGTGACAATAAGTTACCTTAAGGTGCAGGCTGGTTGCACCACTCACCTCCTCCCCATTTACCTATGCATTTATGTGTATGGATCACTCACAATGATAATAAAATAATAGGCTTAAGTAAAGTGGAGAAGTTCATAAAACTGAAATTTTAAAAATATTAATGTTTAATTATGAAAAAATTAGAATTATAAATAACGGGTGATCACTAGTTGTTACTAGTGGTTATTTACTATATAAAAAAATAATTTGTTGTACTAGAACTTTTAAGAGATTATCAGTTGCAGTAGTAATGGTGTGAAATTAGACTAATATACCATTTTGTGCATAGGCTTAAATAATTGTAAATAAAAAAAAATATTACCCTAACTTAGGGTAGGCTACAAGCCCCTCTGTGGGGCTGTGTGAGTGAGCTGGTGATGAAAAAAATTAAAATGTGGTAGAAGAATAAATTTTTCACTGTGAATTTAATATGGTTTAAAGCTTTCAAAGTGTTTTAATTGTGTTGTTATTGACTGTTTCAATATGATTATTTAATTATAGTAGACTTCGTATTTCGTGACCACCATACTATTAGTTTGAATAGAGATTTGTAGTTTTTTTGTGTACCACACCACAAGTTTCAAGATTCCTTTTGTTTGACATACCTTTTAATGACTCATGCTCATTCCGAAGTAACATAATTACTTACTGGTCTTTCATAGGTTTAGATTTACAAGTTATTTTATTTAATAACTAACGGTTGCTTGCAACTTCAACCATGTGAAAAAAATAATAAAAAGTATAGTACTCATGGATAACATAGCTGTTTTATGGTGAAGGATTTTTGAAATTGGGCTAATAGGTTTTGAGTAATTGGAATTCAAACAAAAATACAGATTTTTTTCTCTTTATAATAGTATAGATTTAAATTCATTATTATTAAATAGCGATTAGGTAAGATAAGCAAGTAGGCATTATTACTTAGCAATTAGGTATTAAAAGTTGCCAATAAATATGGCAAAATTTATTGGCTATTTTCAATACCTTAGGCCTGTTTGGTTGGCAAGTTTACATCTCTCAAGGTGACATTCTAATGTTGTGTATTAGTAAAATCAGGGTCTGATATTACAAGTATCGTGTCGTAAAAGCGTTTGTTTTATTAACTTCCAGAATGATTTGTATGTTATATGTTCTTCGGATAGCTCGATAATATAAGCGGTTATAGAAATGTTGCTAGACGCGTGCGATAAACCGGAAGATATAGAATTAGTCATTGGGCACAGCCGGTCGCGTCAACTACTGATACTGCGCGCCTCGCACCAGGAAACGCTAACAGGATTAAGGAAGGGGTTACAAAACATCCCGAATGAATACAATCGATGCATAGTTAAACTATTTTTTAATATGACAAATAAGTAATTTTTTTAAGATCTTATTCGACTTTTATATATTTTTTTCGTAACACGAATCGTTTATCCTTCATACCAGTGTTACCAGTAACTAATCCCTGGTTTTCATTTGAGTTTTGAACAACGAAAGCATTTGATACATCATTTGTGCCACATCTCACTAATATTATTAATGCGAAAGTTTAGATGGATGAATGGATGGATGGATGTTTGGTAGAGTTTGTAGCCTAAACTGCTATACTTATCTCGATGGTATTTGGCGTACAGGGACACATAGGGTACTTTTTTTCGAATTTCACGCGGACAGAATTGCGGCCAAAAGCTAGTCACGAATAATTAATTCGTAACTCTCACATTAATCAAATTACCCAATAATCTATATATAGTCTTTGTCTACAAAGTACATGTTAATAATAATTAATGAATTGCCTCATAAATATGTAAATAACAAAAGAACTCTGCAATCGAAATACTTTAGCAAATAAATTGATCAAATAATGAATAGCCGCAGTCGTCAGAGATATGCTTTTACTATCAATAACCCATGAAATTCGACTATTGGAACACTTGTATTGAAAAATATATTATCTCTATTATTTCAAGGAGAATAATAGGGATGACAAGACATTGCCTTACAACTCTTTAAATGGAAACCCAGTAGTACAAGTCAAACATAGTTATTGAATATGATTGACGTAACATAAAATTTAATGAGTGTGTATTAAATTATAATGGTGGTGATATCACTTTATTAAAAAAAATTCAAGGTACATCCTATTTCTCAAATTTCAATACGCAATATCTTAGAAGCAGTATTTGTTATTATTGGCCACTATATACGAAACTTTGTAATGATGTAAGAATTGATGTCTTCTATATTCAGTCAGGTTCTGATGGGGAGATTATGATAAAAAAACTTGCAAACTGTCGTAGTTCCATTGTGCGGTTTAAAGAGCTCTTGAGAAGCCTTTGAAATACGAACAAAAGCTTGATAACAGAGAAAGCGGAAGATAGAATCGATGAGTCCGGGATAAAATGCAAATTAGATTTTTTTAACGACAATAATTCGCAAAGTGTAAAAAATCATTTTTGTTAACATTTTACATGTCAATGATTTAAAAATTTAACTGCTCTTATTATTTGGCCTTAACTCTAAGCTTGTGCTTGTAGCTTCTCTCATGTTGATACACTTTATCTGCGTACGTATCCTGCGTAAATGGAGATAGAATGCGATGTAGAGTTTCACACTAAATTAACTATAACGCCAGCGGTGTTTGATATTTTCTGCTAGTCCTGTTTTTTTGTACATTTTCGTATATGATTTGCAAATATTATTAATTGTTTCAAATATCGTACAAATCTTTGGATTTTAATCAAAAATGTCGCTTCGAATATATGGCGGAGTCGAAGTGTGAGTAGGGTTCCGCGCATGTGCGGTTTGGGCGTGTCTGTCGGTCGTGGCCGCTTGCCGGCAGTTCCGCACCGGCACCGGCGTCTGTACCCACACACTCTGCAGCTCTTCTGCTACTCTGGTACTGGTAATATATTTTATTACATCTTTTCTGATATGCTTTATATGTATTATACATATACGTAGATTGGTTTCCGCTTTTTCATTAAAGATCAATGAACCCATAGATGAAATTACGCGTTTCCATTTTCTGAGCAACCTACGCAAAACATTTATGGTTATAACTAAAAAAGGTGCGGTTTGTGTATTAACAATAGTGGTTTTATCTAGTTTTAGTAATTAAAGCACAAATCAATTATCTATGACTTTGATGAAATGTAATCGATTAGTTTGTAGGCCCCATATTTAGTACTCGTAACATTATTTCGCCAAAACAAATGAATCGTGTTAAAAGATTATACCGGCTTTTCATAGTAGTAAGCTGTTTATACATAAGTTATGCTGCTTGATTTTAATATTGATTCATTAGTGAACCTTCTAGAAGATTTTTAGAGGATTTTGTTATTCACAACAATACTTAAATAATTGGAGAGTTGTCTTCTAGACTAAAACACGATTATTTGAGATACATTTGTATGTGCAATAAATCGTAAGAAGCTGTGATAAGTAACGACGGAAACGTATAATACTTAAAACCATATTATTTATTGCATTTTATTAATATTTGGATTGTATTTATATCATATTTTGCTTGAAATTATCCCAAACTATAGGCAGAAACTTATTATCTTTATTTAAACAAAGTTAAAAGAGTTATCTAAGCTAAAATACAACATAGTTTACGTTATTCCTTTTACTACATAGCCTGTGTTTGCTCGTCGGGAAACGATGTAAGATATAACACGTAGAAAGTAGACATCGTGTTCAAATCTTGTGATAAACAAAAGCCCTTTATTACGAAAGAACAAACATTGATGCAATCCATTATTCTTATTGGAATAGAGAACTTGAATGAGGTATAGTGGAATCACTCGTCATAACAGGCGTGGGGGAACGACCCTCCGTTAACGTAAGCGCGGGTCGCGGTTTCTGTTCACACAGTCCCCGTCACACTAACATAGGGTTGCCGGTAACTTAAAAAGTAGCTTATAGCTTGGCACTAAGAATACATTTTTTGATATTTATTTTCTTGTTCATTTGTTTAATTCTAAGATCATAGCTGAAAATACGAATGACAAATACAATTCAAAATCAGTTAATCCGTTGAGGTTAAAAGCTGCCACGATAAAATGCTATTTAACGGAGGAATTAAATCTATAATATTCTATGTATCCTTTATTTATTACGTTTTTAACTTGAGTAATAAGCAAAGTAAGTAAAGCACAAGCATATAGTAAATGAGTGCCTAAGGGTAACCTATAGTCACATATTTTCGCTTGCTTTTTCCATTCGAGATAAAATATTGAACGTCCATGTGGCGGGTGCAGTGATATGAGCAATTACTACAGAGTACCCTCAGCGCGCGCGCTAATTGTTCTTGAAGGGGCCTCTACGTCCTCTCCCATTTTGTTTTCCCTTTTGTCTTTGTGACTAGGATTGACGGTATATACTTTTGTTTCTTTTATTTGTTGCACGAACTTATGCGGCAATGTGGTCGAAAAAGTTGAGATGAAAAAGAAAACTTCCATAACTTCCAGAAATATCAGAGCAGAAAGCAAGTGGAGCTTTTGAATTTGTACTTCGCTATCTCCGTCTGAATCAAATTAGCAACCCGTCAAGAGCGTTAATTACGTACCTACCTTCTCCAACTTTTGCCAGTTTATATTCTGAATTTAGCTCTTTTTTTAATAAATCCATCAATTGAGTTAATTAAATGTCAATGTGAATTAAGTTTTAGAATAAAATGCAATTTAAAATTTCTGGTATTTATGAATTAACCAGAAGAGGTTTGTACTTTTACTACTGTCATTTTAAACTCCAACTTCCTAAAAAAATTTAGACGCACTCGCTTTTATGTACAGAACTTAATTAAGACATGTTTTATCATTATAACGTCATTGTTATAAGTTAATACTTCGGTAATGCTAAGTTATGGAT